TATACAGTAGTACAGTATTATTTTTTAAATTGTTATTTTTACGACCTTTCTATGTTACAACAACACGACGCAATACCTAAACTTTTCGTGTTTTAGTACAAGTCCCATCCTTCATTGACAAAGGGCTCCGGGCAAATCTGTGATTTAAACGTGATAATCTCATGGGTACTTATAGTGTTTATTGTTGTTTCAGTCCTTATCCAGATGCTCGCGAAAACATACCTCACATTGCTATCAGTCGGGACACTTCCGAATTAATTATATACAGTACATGTATTATATTGTCACTATCTCTCATACCAATGTATCCTGATAAAAAAGATTACCCAGGCATATTACAGTTTTTGTTTACACTATTTATATCAATTTTTTGCAAATACCGTCAATACGGATGTGTAAAAATATATACAGTACAGGGTTATATATAAACTGTTTAATCAATAAGAACAACTTGTTTTTGTGCAGTTCAGAGAGGTCTGATTTCTCCGACGATAGCGGTAGTGGACGAGGAGAGGGACTGACCGGGAATCACTGGAAGAACGGGGGGGGGGGGGGGGGCAAGCACAGAAAGCTCTAACATTAGAGATTTTATGAAAAGCTTATTTAATCGATATTGTAGAGTCCCTCAAACTGTAGAATTACATAGAATTTTGTCTCCGCTACGATTTGTCGTTTTTCTTCGCGAACGGGCGGATGGAGGGTAGAGGGATAAGCTATTCAAATTTTACCCCTACTTCCCCCAACAGACGCCACTTCTGGTCTTTACAGACTTTAATAATCTCGACTTTTATTTGTTTTTTCCTTTATGTGCTTCTTTTTTTCTAATTTTATATGCAATGATCTTCTAAATTGCTAAATTAAGAGGGATTTCCGTCAAACTTTATTTCATTCTATTTTATCGTTGATCTCTTCTTACAAACCCAATTGGGTTTCTTGGGGGTTCCTTTTCGTCATTTTTTATTTTTATTTTTATCTGTACCGTACTTTGTTATGCCTTTTCAAATTTTTATGATTAATATAATGTTGTATTTGTATGTAACAAACAATCAACCTTTTATGTTGCACTAAACCAACTACACCAGCAGGCGATGGACGTCCGACGTCTTAAACGTTTTTCTTCGGCACACTCCTACAAGAATAACGAAAATAAATACCTAGGGTTATTTAGTTATTATGTGTGTCTGTTTTGATAATAGCGGTCTGCCCATTTATGAGTTCTATAAACACGTTAAGAGCCCGGAGTGCCTCCGGCCGAGTCTCGTGAAAACCTTTGCGCTCTTTGTAACGTGAATGGAAACTGCATATCCGGTATTAATCGTCACTGCTAAGGACCTACTGCTCTTAGCAAAACCACTCTACGACGAAATCCAAAACTAGCTGTTCATAACTTGGGAAATACTAGCGAACCCTGTGAGGATTTATTTTGTTTTAAATACGGAAATTATAAAACGCACGCGTATCTGTAATAACCATCATTTGGGACATATTTAGATAGATAAACACGATTATTAGGTTGAGTAAACCTAGTCTGCCTATTCGGTATTTTTAAGCTGTACGTCTCACGTGAGAGGAAACATACAGAGACGTTCTTTAAACTTTAGACCATAATTATACCAAACATTAATAATGCGTACCGGTACCTTTTTTGAGACTTAAAACGTATAATGCTTGTTTGTTAATGTATGGTCACGCAATAAAGACAATAATTATGGTTGTTTCAAATATCAACAAAGAGAATTTTTTTTTATAATCAAGGGCCTAATATGATTTGTATCTGATATTATCGCATTACCATTTTTATATTGTAATGCGTTTGAAAAATATAGATGCTTTTCTTTAGAATTATATTTATGAAAGTTAATAAAGTTCATTCGTAGGCATTTTCGTGACATATAAACCCAGACCTAGTTTGGTTTCACGAAAACACCATAAATTTTAGAAACAGACCATTGCTGTTTGTTATCATTTGAAATCGACAGCAGACACAACAAGCCACTCGCTTTTAAGATTATACCTTGTTTTGTTTTACAGATGTGTCGCAATATGTATTTTGTAAACCTAGAAAACCATTAAAAATGATAAAAAATGGAATTGCTCAACTCCTCTTTAATATTTTTTTTAATCTCTGATTTTGGCTGCTTTGTGTCCTGGAAAGGCGCGATACCAAATGCGAGACCAGACATTAAATTAAAGAACAAGCATTGTACGGTAAGTCTCAATAGGCAATGCCGTAGCCAGCTATTGGGACAATTGGGACAGTCCCACACAAGTTTTCTAGGGTCCATAAAGAATGGGTCCACATTTTTAAAAATGGGTCCAAGTTATGCAGATTTATGCGTAAAAAAATCTACTTTTTGAAAAATATTTAGCCTAAAATGGGTAAACTTTTAAGAAAATAGCCTTTGATAGGCACCCGTCTGATGCGACCACTGCGGCCAACCCTGTTAAGCACACCCGTAATAAGGGGACGGGGACACCACCCTGTGCAAAATGATCAAATGAACATGTTCAACCCTTATTAAATATATACATTTACAATATACTCGAAATAATTCAAACTGACCATTGGCGGATCTGGAGGGGTCAGGGGGTCCTAACCACCGTGGGCAAAATAAAAAATATATATAAAAAAAAAAAAAAATAATAATATTAATAAAGTACAATTTTTTTTAAT